AATGTGAGAAAATAAGAGCCTCTGAGCGGATGAGACTTTCGTATGGTCGAAAGCAATCTGTCACGAAGTGATGATGTATTTTGACAAATAGAAGCAGGGAGGAACCATGTGACGTACGGTCTAATCCACGTGCCATTTTGGCTCCAAGTAAGGGGCCCCCCCCCCGCACTCCTGTCATTTTCACCCACCCTCCTCACCCTTACTCCGGGAAGTCCGGAGTAGGAGCGGGGGGGGGGACCACACCGTAGTGGTGTGGCCAAGGCAACGGTTGTCGTTGCAGGTCATATGTTGGGGGAAGGGAAGGGGGCAAATTCGGGGGCAAATTCGGGTAGTCTGATATAATTAAAAGTGATCAGTCAGGTCCAATAAGTTTGTTGTACAGAAGTGTAGGGAGTGAATTTTTCAGAACTCGTCCAGACCAATTGAGCCGGCAGCACAGCTGCACCGTACACGTCCCCAATGTGAGAAAATCAGAGCCTCTGAGCGGATGAGACTTTCGTATGGTCGAAAATGTGTATATATATATATGTATATATTTACACATAGTGGCTGAAGTGCCCCAAACGACGCACAAGAGGTTATGTTATGTTCAATGCTTCAGCAGTTTTCGCCACAGTAGATCCAACAACGTATCTAAGTATAGGAGGCCAAATCTAAGTAAAAACCTGGAAGATGATGTGGGCTGGGCACACATATTTTTTCCATATGCACATACGCATGGCTATGTTCGTTGCCTCGCCGGGGGGGCATGGGTCGGCGGCTTTCTCCTCTGCTCGCACACGAATACAAGTCCAATGATGCGAGCGCCAGTGACGTCCTTTTGGAAGGGTTCTTGCACACCACAGGTATACCTGTTGTTTGGCGCTGTGGATCATGCATGGTTCTTTGACCCTCGTGGATTTTCAAGCTGTTCAGCTGCTTGGGTCGAGCCATTTCTGCAGGCCAAGTGTGAGCACTGCAGCGCCGTTGAAGCAAACTTGGTGCGGCTGCCCAGTTGCCAGCCGTTGAGACTGGACAGAGCGTTAGTGACTCTGGAAGGCAGCAATGTCTTGAAGCATGATCCCAGAGAAGTTCATGGATTCATGAATATATATAGCTTTAGAAGACCACCACTCCACAGAGGCACTATCTAGAAAGGTCTTTGTGTGCCTTTGTTACGGACGTCAGACTGGGGCCGCCTGATGGCTTCACAAAGGACACCAACCTGACAGATGCTCCTCGGGTCATGGTCTTACACTTGAAGCGTTTCGTGCGGGCACCTGGATGAGAAGGTTGTGTAAACAAACTTGGGCTCACTAGTCACAATGGTGGTGTCTTCAGCTTCTGGGAAGGCGTCTCGGGAGATTTCGAAAGCCAATGAAAGCCTGGTTCCTTGATGGAGTCGCAACTGGAACTCATCGTGAAACAGAAACAATGAGAAAAGGAATGGACCGTCGACCTGAATTCGCACAAGCCCTCCATACCACAAATACATACCTATGGACCTATGCTGCATACAGTCGGTCTAAGATAGTCAGAGTCTAAGCCAAGTTGCCTCAAGTTTCTCGATTTTTTTACAAAGGCCCCACAGACTTTACATGCCAAAAGGGAGCTTTGCAGCCTTACCCCTGCACACCTTTTGAAGCGATGTTTGGAGCAAGGTCATCGGATGATATTGTCAGCACAAGAGACCAGACTTGAGGTGCCCAACATTGAGAAACAGTGCTACGAGAAGCAGCACCAAGCGGTGGAGATACCTACCATGCTGGGTTCCTCAGTACCGTGCACGCAGGACGTAGGAATAGTGCAACATCAGTTGTACGACAAGGTTTTGAGTTGCAAGACAAGAGAAAATAAGTGTCAGACGCAGAGGCTGGTATGACTAAATGATACTGAATAACTAAGCCATTCCCGCTGGTGGACAAGTGTTTCCCCCAATACGATGTGCACATGTCAGCCTCTGCCGAGCTCACCTCGCAAAGCCCTGAGCTTGAACCGAGGCTTGACCTTGGAGCTACTCTGAGTAGCAGTAGCGAAGGCCAGCGTGCACATCCCACATGGAGTTTTCGACATGCTTTTTGGACCCACGGTTTTTTCATGTTCCTAGTGGCAAGGCCGGGAGCCCCTAGTAGCGTCCTTGCTCCTAGTGGCGATGCCAGGAGCCCCTAGTAGCGTCCTCGCTCCTATGTTTTTCATGTTTTTCCTCCATGTTCCCCCGAAGCTCACCGTGCCCCCTCGCCAGATGCATCTCCTCCTCGCTTGCCTGCACGGCCTCTGGCTGCGCCGTTCGGAGCCCTGAAGGGTTTTGGGAAGTTTCCCAAAGAAGAGAGCTGCCCGGTGGAGAGCTTCCAGTTGTTTGACCAAGCGAAAAAGTGGATGCCGAGTTGGCAGGGTGGTGATTTAGGTGGAGATTTGGCCTCGGATGCCGATGCTGATGCCGTTCAGGTCTGTTGAGGCACCTGGCTCGCCCCAGAAGGCCCGTGGAGGGCGAGGGGTTTTCCACATCAACAGGTCCCAATGGTGGATTGACGAAGCGCACATGAATTCAGAACGAGGTAGGTCACAACCTTCCGTGGGAGGACTTTTCCAGTGGATGGTTTTCAGAGAGCTGAGCAATTGAAGCACTAAACAATCGACTGATAATCACGAATCAATCAACTTGGTGTGTCGGCTGGAGGTGGCGAGCTCCCTGCGCTACAGCTTGCGGGCCATCGTGGCACACGAGGGCGCCTCGCCCAGGCGGGCCTGCCAAGAGCGGTCTGCTTTCCAACGACGTCTGGCACTTGATATACTGTTACCGTACTGTATTTATATTTGTAGTTGGTTGGGCACAGGAGAGTGGAGCCCAATGCAAGTAGAGGAAGTGTGCCGGAGCTTTTAGCTTAAGCTTCCGGTTTTGCAAAGGCTTTTGGATGCCCTAGCGGGTTGGGACTGTTTGGTGGAGGGAACACGAGGGAACCATAATATGATCAATGTCAGGGCTTTTCTTTTTTTCTCAAGCTTTGTTTGGAGAGCAGGATCTAGCTGCTTAGCTGTGGCCCTGCAATTAGGCCCAGCTTGGAATTGTCATTTTCCAGGCCTGGTTCTCGTGAACGAATGCAATTAGCAATTAATCCTGGGTCCTGGGCATAATTCTGGTATGTGTCCAGGTAGGTGTTTGGCCATTCATGGGGTTTGAGCGGTTTGAGGCATCCAATTGGTGGTGAACTGAGTGCCAGGTCAGGCCACTACGTGTGTTATGCCCAAGCCTCCAGCGGGGAGTGGCGTCTCTATGATGACAGCCGGGTCAAACGCTTTGCCCCTGGCGAGGAGATCATCCAGATTGTTTGAGTTCCTTTAATTATATGGGCAACTCTGGATGGAACTTGTCCTGAATCAGCAGATCCTAAGCCTTGGTGTGAGTGGTCTGCATGAGGCCTCGGAAAATCTTCCACTCACCCCAGTTTTGAAAGGGATTGGCCTGGATCTTCAAGTGTGGGCGATTTGCATCACGGAAAGCCTTGAAGTCCAGGAGCCGCAGAAAGATTTGGGCCGAAAGGCTTACATGCTGCACCTCGGATTTGTTAAGGGAGAGAGGAGAGATGTTGCACAGCGACGAGTGCGGATAAATGGCTATCTTGTAGAACGAGGCATGAAAGATCCGGGCCCACACCCTAGGGGCTTATTTGATACACCTGGTCTCAAGAGGAGAAAAAGAGAACTCAGATGATCTACTGCAGCGACGGGCTCCTAGGAGTAAGAGTGGCTAATGGTCATCCTGGTGGTGACTTCCAGCGGGTCACCAAGTCAGCATGGCTTTCCCCGTGGCGCGTGTCCCATTGCGACTAAGCGCTCCGCCCATTGCGACTTTCTCAGGTTTTATGTCCTGAACAGTCTCAGTCTCAGGAGGATCTGACAAGGGCGCAGTAAGGGGGCTTGAGCGACAAGTAACGGCAAGAGAGAGAGAGAGAGCAGTTTGACATGAATGTTTTGGGGTCGAGCACATTGAATTACCACTACTGTAGTTATCATCATTCATGCTCACAGCTTCGGGAATCCAGTTGAATCCCTGGCACTGAAGGTCCTGATGGAAAGAGCCCACCCACTTCAGCTGTGGGAGCGTGAGAAGCGGCTGTAGTCGAGTTGAAACTGCAGTTAAATGAAACTGGACGTTGGAGGCCAAAGCAGGGGCGAATGTAGATGCCTCAATTGCGGCCCAAAACAAATCAGCAACAAAAACACCCAAAGCATCACGCACACTCAATAGGACGAGTTGCGGAAAACAATGTGATTTTTTTGGTGCGACTGGGGGTGTCGCGCTGCCTGGGGTGCAGAGATGCATTGCAGGGAGCTTGCCGGTCTCAGCCTTTTGGATTGAGGTGATTCGAGCATATTTGAGTGTTTTTGCTGAATGTGCCCAGTTGGATGCAAGCCATATTGTATCCAGGGGGGCGGGAGTCATTGTCGCAGCCTGCTTGCTTGGCAGTTTGGCAGCTCCTGCGCGACGAGTCAATGAGATCCACGTGCTGGGCGTGTAGGGGAGAACCCACGCCAGCAACGCCAGCCGAAAAATGGGCCTCGTTTCAGAGATGTGCGATGAAAAGATCAAGAAGACCACAGATAAAGAGAATGCAGATGAAGTCCGTTGGCAACTCTCATCCATCAAGAGTTGCTCTCATGACTCGTGACTGACTGTAGTGACGTTTGATGGCATCTGGGGGAGTGATGCTGTGGGTTGCAGGCTTTGGGACCAATGCCATTGCTGGCATGAAGTACCAATGTGACATAGTAGTGTTGGAAGATGCTGAACCGAAGGTGATGATCTGAATCCACATTGCATAAACATCACGTCACGTCACATCCACAGTCACAGAAGACCAACATCCTTCCACGAACCCTGTGAATGGAAAGCATCATCATCGAAAAATATGGATGAACCGAGCACATCCAGCCAAGCGATCTCGAAGTAGATAGGTTCATGACTTCACGCACTTGTTCATACGGATCTCGACGAATGATTCACCTAAAGCACCCCAGCGAGATGGACCCATGAACCAGCAGTCCTGCCCGACAAATCCATCCAAAGCGGCCATGGCTTCGCTCGTGGTGCTCCTGGCATTTGCTTGGCCCGGAGCCGATGTTTGTTCTGAGTTGTGTAGGCGCAGTAGGTCTTTGACACTGGCCAAACAAGACCCAAGTCGTGTGAAGGCAATTGATCTTGAGATCGAGATGCCACACAAGTTATACGGGGTTTATATTCCTTAGAAGTTGCCATACAATTACAAACTATGATAGATCTCCAGTTTTTTTGTACGAAACCTTCTCTTGAGGTCGGCCGAGGGCTACTATGGGGGCACCTGTGGTTCGGCTGAGGTGGCAGGGGCCTTTGGATTTGCCATAGGTGAGGTCTGACATCAAAAGGAATGACATGGGAATGTATGGTTTGTTTTGTGGCTTGGGTCCAGGTGTCAGACATCGCTGGCCGTTTCGGGCCGTGTGGCTAGGATACGGAGATCGCATGCTGGTCAGCCATACCAAAAGCTCCTAAGCAACCGCCAGAGGGTGCAGAGATGGACCGATTCGTCGCGCCGTCACCGAGGCAGGGGAGATTCAAGGAGAGGATGGCGTGGTCGGGCGGCCGACCATGGCTCGCTCTGTTGTGACGTTGGGTTTTTGGGTCTAAGTTTGCAAGGGGACCAGGAGGAACACATGCACCAGTCAGCGTTACAGGCAAATATTGGATGTATCCACTTCACATGCCAAGCATTTCGTAGCAGGCGGCCGTGTTGTCCCCAAGGGTTTGGCGCGAAGACACCTGCAAAGTCAGGTGCCCTCGTCAACAGCACTTCTCCTAGGTTTGTGCGCCCCGCTGCAGCGCCAGCTATGAGTGCCCGACCGAGTTCGCAGCCGTGCAGGCATGCAGAAAGCCTAAGCCTCCCTGGCTTCCCTCACCTTTTTTACTTCCCAGCCTCAAGCTTCATGAAAAGATCCAAGACCTAAAACAACATCCAACCAACCAATCATGCATCATTGTTCTACTAGTAGACCAGAGATTCCGATTCCTCAGCATAGTCTTTCTCAGCGGGGCCTGAGACCCACTCGGCGTCTTGCATGTCGGGCGTCGCTGCACGACACAGGCGCAGCCACAGTGCATGCTCCAAAACGTAGACCAGGCTGGAGCGGGGCAGAAAGAACCACTGGATAGAAACCCTGAAAGGCTGCTGGAACTTCATGCTAGTTCTTTTTCTCCGGAAGATCATTTCACAATCTATGATCCAGGAGGATCCACGCTGATCCACGTGGCAGAGCAGACCAAGTCTTATCTTGGGACCTTTGTGCAAGCCGCCAGGCCTTCTACTGTGGCCTACTGTGCCAAGCAGATGCTCAATGCCCAAGTGGAGCCTCATGTCGAAAGGCACCGCGGGAGGTGGAAGAAGGTGGTTGGGCCTTGTCCCAAGGCACACAGAGACGCCTTCGATGAAGGTAGAGTTAGAGGAATGTACCCTCAATGGATGTGGGGCCTAACGCCGAAGGTTGATTCAAAATTAAATTGTGCGCCGCCTCGACCAAATCACCACCAGGACTACCAAGCAGCGAGTCGCTGTCTCCCTTTTCCCCATGGCCAGCACCCCAGCCCCATGTCCGTGGAAGAGCAGCCCCCCGTGGCAGGTCGGAACGCAGAATGTCGGACTGTGTATCCACCCTTTGTCCTTCTCAGATTGGGCCAGCCCCTCGGAAGGGCGGCTTGAGCCGCCCAAGGACACGTGCGGCAATCCGCGCAACCCACCATGGTGCGCGGACGGACCAAGAACCACTGGGGACTCCTTTGGGACTCCTGTTGGTCTTTTTGTTTGAGGGGGGTCGACAATTCCCCAAATGAAGCGTCTTGGAATCTCTGGCCCTGGCCGAGGCACGCTTGTCCTCACGGATGAAGCTCAGCATAGGCTGGGTTTGCTGGGTGTACGGATGGGGAGCAGATGACCAGATTATTGTGCTACCTTAGTGATTCACTTGCATTGGTGTGAGGGGCTCAAGACTCAGGATGAGTGTTCCAATCTCAAGGGTATTCAAAGCCGCGCGCTGCAACATGCGTTCTGCAGTTGCAAGGAGTGACAAAGGCGATCTCACAACTCTACTTAGTGTGGTTGTTCTGCTTGAAGTCTTCAGAGGCTTTCCGAGTGCGCCCAGTGGTCAGTGGGAGGCCCCTGGTCCAACTTGTACATATTGAATTTCCTGTGCTGTCAAATCCATGCAGTCTTCAAGGAACAGTCTGGTGCGGAGTCGATTTTTTGTTGAGGTGCTCCGCAGTTTGCTTGATTGTTGGCCTGGGTTCAAGCGGTGTCGCAGAGCTGTTTGGCATAGAGTCGGCTATTCCCATGGCGGAGGTGCCAGCAGACGAGGTACCTCAGGCGGAGAAAGAAGAGCTCTTTTGCACTTATGCTGCCATGATCCTGAAGGACAGTGAGCTGGACATCTCCGAAGATAACATCAACACTCTCATCAAGGCTGCCGGTGGCTCCACCAGCTCCTTCTTCCCTGCGCTTTTTGCGAAGCTTTGTGCGGGCAAAGATTTGGAAAGCATGCTGAAGTTTGGTGGAGGTGGTGGCGGAGGCGGCGGTGTCGCCGCAGGCGGCGGTGGTGGAGGTGGTGGTGGTGCAGCACCTGCAGAGAAGAAGGAGGAGAAGAAGGTTGTCGAGGAAGAGGAGGAAGAAGAGATGGAGTTTGATTTGTTTGGATAGACTGGACCGTGGTAGAAGCCGGCAGTCGTTTCCTCAAATGCCAAGAAACAGCCGAGAAGCTCTGCCT